TGGTAATAATGTTTTTGAACATCTGCCTTCTAAGATAATGACCAAAAATAAAATAGACAAAATCTTTACTAAAATGTATGAATTATTATAATCTGTTCAAGAAACAGAAGTCTACTTCTACTTGATAGCAAACTGGGAAAAGACAACAAGTCAAGAAAGATGTATAGGTAGAATTGCACAGATAAATTTGTATTTAAAAAGTATACTATTCAACTTATTTATTTTAGAAATGTACCCAGCTCTACAACAACTCTAGGCAGGCATTATAAATAAATAGACCAGAATATTAAATTCTATTCTTTTTTATTTTTAAAAGTTCTTTTATTCTTAGATAGGTAGATAATATTTATGTCAGTCAATGATTAGATAAAGCAAAATACATGTAAATTAATTATAGCAGAAGAGGGGAGAAAACAAATAAATAATACATCCGCATAGCCATAAGTCACTCTGTAGTGACCTGGGCGGTGACAAATTTGAAATATAAATAAATAAGATGAATGAATCAGGTCAATTGTTTGTGCACAATCACAGCAGCTATACCTAACTTTGCTACGTTATGGGTGATAGCACTTTTCTTGTCTGATAAGAGAAAGTTGACAAGAAGTTCCTCAGGATAATCTGGTGCATGCAAGAAAAGTGGGAAGATGAGTCTTCTCTGAATATCATTGTAGAAGGAACAGGGCAGCAACAAGTGGAGAGTACATTTAACTGAATGATCACCACATGGACAGGTTTGGTTAATCATGGGGTTTTTATCAAATATACTGTATAAAAGCAATGAGGGTAGACTATTATATCTGGCTCTGAAGAAGAGCCTTTGTTGGGCTAGACAGATGAGTGAGTTGATGCAGTTGGCTGGTTTCCACCTAACGTGGTTCAGCCAAGTTTGGACCGAATTTGGGATGAGTCCTCTTCCATTCTGGGCTTCAATATCTAAAAGCCTTTCTTTTATAACTCTCCTAGCCTGAGTGAAGTAAAGAGGATATAGGGAGTCAAGGGAGAGGCCAAATGATAGACTTTTTGTATGTTTTGCTTGAGTCCAAGAGCACTCAATTCTTCTGAAAGAAGGGATAGAATCAGCCCAGCTGGAAAATAATAGCATTTAAGCCAGTAATTAAAGATTAATAACCATCTTCTGACTTCAGTCCTCATCTGACCAGCTTCAGATCTCAGAATTGTGCGAGTTATACATTTTGGAACTTGGAACACTGCTCTAATGAACTTGGTTTCCATCTGTGTGTAATCTGGATAGGGTCCTAGCTGGGAGCCATAGAGCAGCTGAGCCTGGGGTTTTGCTAGGAATAATTTGAGAGCTGCTCTATGGCTCCCTTTTCTCCACCTTTTGTATGGGAGAATCTCAGGATGGCTGATGAGCTTTTTAAAGCCCATTCAACCACTGCATTGATGTGTGTGTTCCATGACCCTGAGACTTGGAAGGCAATATCTAAGTATTTGAAGACCCTCACTTGCTCCGTTTCCTGCCCTTCTATTACTCAGTGAAGCATCCTGAGGTTTTTTTTTTTTAACAAAGACCACTATTTATTCTTAATTTCATCATATTTTCTCCAGAAGCTCAATGTGGAAGCTATCCCATTTTATTTTCACAATCACCCTGTTTAGTTGGCTGGAAAAATAGATTGGATTTTTCTCATCCAAGCCACATGGCTGCCCTCTTGGCTGTCTGAATCAAGTCTAATGCTTCTCTTGTTATATCATGTAGAAATTGTTTTGCAAAAGATAAATAAGGAGAATTGGAGTCCTTCTCACTACCAAAAAGAGAAAGGATGAAGGAAGGAAATATTCTTCAGCCTATTTTAAGCCATGTGTCAATTTCCTTTCTTTTTCATGCTTGGCTACAAAAAGAAGGGAACAGAAAGTCATTCCGGTTTCTTGTTGCCAGCCTGATAGAATTTGTATATGCTGTCATGGGAAAGGGATGCCAAACTGGAAGCTGGCATGGAAAATGGCCCAATTTACATTGATTTCTCTAGAGTCTAATTATCTCTTAAGTATCTATCTGTAATTTAATTAAGTAAATCAAATATTAGTGAATCCTGAAATACCAATGGCGAAAAAATGTACAAAACCTCGTGCTGTAACACTTAAACAGGGTCAAGTACAATAGTGAACCCAAAGACAATCAAGGAGATGGAACGAACCCAAAGATAATAAAACAGCAATTCCCATTGAAAACAGTAGCAATGTAGGACTTGCAAGGAAATAAATGAACCAAAAACACATTGCAGGGAAAAGAGAGTGCTCACTAGCCCATCATAACTTCAACCATCCAGATTGTTACCAGGTCAGATATAATTATCTTCTGTTTTTTGTTTTTTTTTAAAGTTCTTCCTGGCTCCAAATGAGGCAATCAGTGATTGGCTTGAGCTGAAATGCTCATTTCATTACAGAATGAAGAAATGATCCCATTCTAAAATAGTCTAAGCTACACGATAGTATTATCTGATAGGCTCAGCTCATTGTGGAGAAAGTTTTGGGTGAAATTCTCATCGGAGGAAGAGTTTAGAAACAATTGTCTTCCTCAGTGTTTCTTTGGTACTTTTTGCAGCAATGTTTACCACATCATCTGCATTAGTTTTATTGATTTTCACTCTTGGTTGCTTCCAATTGCTCTAAATCAGATTGATCAAACCATACAACACTATTATCCCATTCACAGTATGATCTCTGTGTGTGTCCTTTAGGGAAGATGAAGAAACATTAGCACCAAGGGACAGATTAATATGGGGAAGTTAAGAAAAAGAAAACAGGTGGCCATCAAATATACACATCTAACTGGTTATACATAGAATTAATATGCCTTTTATCATATGATCTCAGACTGTGCAGGGTCAGCCATATGATTGAGACATAAATTGTTGCCTTCGTTTTCCTTTATTATAAATTGCCCTCCTTTGTCCACCCTTGTGGTTCAGAAATGCTGATTTG